CTGCCGGGGGTTCGGGGTGGGGGGAGGACGGTCCGGTGTGGGAAGCCGGGAGCTGCCTGGTTGGCAATGCAGTGGGGAACAAAAGAAGGAGGGAAAAGGGGAGGGGAAGTTTGGGGGACTTTTAGGACTGAACTTTTGCGCTGTTTGTGGAAGCCGCTGCCTCTTGTCTTCGCAGAGGATTCCTAGGGAAATTTCACTCCCTGGGTCCTGAGAGAAACCTGTGGCCAAGGAGGCTTTTCCTCCTGCAGGAAACTTTTCTGGTCAAACTCCCGTGAGACAGAGAGTGTATGTGTGTGTGTGGTGTGAGCGCGCGCGCGTGCATTTTCCCTTCTCCCGGGTCCCCGGCTCCAGGACCTTGGTGTTTTCCAGTCTGTCTGTCTGTCTGTCTGGGCGGCTCGGGGACTGCACATCTGTCTCCCTGGAATGGGGTGGCCTGCATCTCCAAGGAGCAGGTTTCCTGAGGCCCTTACCCAGCCCAAGTGGAAGAAGAAAGTTTTTCAAGGGTTCCTCTGGGATCATGCTCCGTGGGTGTCTTGGGGTCCACACCAGCGCAGCAGCTTTCTGGGGCCGAGGAGACAGCTGTCAAAGTCAGAGAAGGCAGTGCAGGTCGGGGATTTACCTCTGCGCCTGTGTGCCAGGGGCTCGCACCAAGCCAAGTTGGGAGGGAAAGTGGGAAACACAGAGAACCGACACTGTACATCAGCTCTCTCAATCCACAGACACCGGAGGGTTATTAGCTGAGGTCAGGGCCCAGGAGTGGTGAGTGTGTGTGTGTTCTTTGTCCATGAAGACCCTGTGTAACCCCTTCACTCCTGCTGGGCTCAAAGGGGTCCTGCCCCTGGAGTGACCAGATGGCCAGGCACTCGGGCTGTTGGCCTGATTGGATGACCCTGAGCAGGCCGCCTGGGACAAGAGAACCCACAGGGCATAAGATATCAGAACCTCTTCTCTACCTCCTGCCTCTGACTTTAGCCTGTCTCCAAATAGCCAGAGCCAGAGGCAGTGGCACAGTTCCTAGAGTTCTAGGAGTTCCTGTATGTGGCACAAGGGATTGGGGGGCAGGTCGCTTGAGTCCTGCCCATGGGACCCCTCTTTGGGTGGATGGATCACAGCTAACTTCGGAATAGGAGTCTCTTCCTGTGGGAGGAGGAGAAAACAAACCCCTCTGCCCTTCTTCCTCCACCCTTGCTGGTCTACAGGTAAACCACGGGGTTAGCTGTCATCTTTCTCACTGGTCTTGGGGTGGGCATGAGGCTAAATGGACAGAGCGTGGGCTTTGGAAGCAAGCAGACCTAACTGTCAATCCTGGACCCACAGCTCATTAGCTGTACCACCACGGGAATGTTAATTAGCTTCTGTGAACTTCACTTTTCTCACCTGTAAAGTAGAACTGATGATATGTCTCTCCATAGAGTTGCTGATAAAGATTAAATATGAGAACATATATAAAACATTTATTAGAGCTTAACATGCACTAAATAAATAATAAATAAGCACTAAATAAATGCTGACTGTCTACCCCCTGTTTTGTGTGCCTCACACTCCATTTTTTCTGAGGGAATAGTCTTGGTTTTCAGAAAAGGGAGTCTCTTCTTGACCCTGTCCTTGTGTCATTTATTCACTCAACATATCTGCATTTACTGAATGCCTTATATGTGCCAGGCCCTGGGCTTGATGTTGTGGGCGCTTATAGTCCAGGAGGGGACCACACATGGTGATGTAACTGACAGCACAAATCAAGATGCATTGTGTACCACCTCGGAGGGAAGGGACCTAAAGTCTCAAGGAGCTTCTTACCCTTCTGGAGCTCTGGTGGTGATGATGGCAGAGAACCGGTGATCACAGCAGGCTGGGAAGTTCTGGGAGTCTTCTTGGAGGAGGCGGGCTGGGGCAAGGCCTTAAAGAATGGGTAGGAAGCCAAACTGATGTATTTCACTACTAGTTGGAAGTTGGAGTGATTTTTTGGAGCAGCAGGAGGCTGAGGGCTTTATCCCCAGTCTCAGATTTCATGTTAGGGTGGGGCTGGCTAACTTGGAACTTCAAACAAGGGCTCTGGAGAAGGCTCTTCACCAGGGTGAAGTGAGGCTGGTGGGGAGCTGGGCCAGGCCTGGGGGTGGCCGAGAGGGCCCAAGAGCCTGACAAGGCCAAGATTCAGGGTCAGATCAGGCCTCCTACTGGGTGTGACTGGTGCAGGCTGCCTTCCTCCCCCAGACTTCCTAAGACCCCCCACCCCCACATCCTCAAGCATCAGGTCCCCAGGCTCCTTTCTGTGTCTCCTGCCAGGCTTTGCCTCTTGCTCCCTCTGAGCCCTGTCCTCCAGGTGCTAGAGATGATGTTAGCAGGTGTGCCTGACTTTACAGGCATACCTCGTTTTATTGTGCTTTGCAAACATTGCTTTTTTTTTTTTTAAACAAATTGAAGGTATATGTCAACCCTGTGCCAAGTGAGTCTATCGGAGCCATTTTCCAACGGGCTCAGATAACGGTTAGCATTTTTTAGCATTAAAGTATTCTTAATTAAAGTATATATATTGGGGTTTTTTTAGGCGTAACGCTATTGCATACTGAATAGACTAAGTACAGTGTCAGCGTACCTTTCATATGCACTGGGAAACAAATATTCCTGTGACTCGCTTTGTCGCTGTGTCCACTTGATTGCAGTGGTACAGAACCGAACCAGCAGTATCTCCAAGGTAGGCCTGTGCTTCTTTTGGATGCAACTGGTGTGCCCGCTTACCTCTGCTCACTGGACCTTCTCCAGCTCTCTCCTCCTCCTTCTTGCATTTTTGGGGGACCAAAAATGAAAGCCCCATTGACTTCCCTGGCTCACCTGTGATCTCTCATGATAGCCGTACCCCTTTATTTGAAGCCACCTCTTGCTATTACTGCCAGAGTTATGGTTACTGTTGCAGTAAGGACAAAATTAAGACCCTGACACCCTGGAGAGGTTCCTGGATCTTCTGGATGAGGCCAGAGCAGTGGGCAGGATGCAAGCTGGTCTATACGTGTGCTGGCAGCTAGTTCCACAGACCCTGCCCCCACCCCTCTCTTACCCTTGCCTAGGGAGATCGCAAGTCAGCCCTGATTTCTTGTATGTTAAATCATCAAGGGGTTCCTATCCTAAGATTCCCAGCTCTATTTGGCTGCCCTAGTGACTTGACAGTGACTCTCAGGGTTCTGGGAGAGACTTGGAGGCAGGAATCGGGACCCAGTTTCTCCCATAAGCAGAGAAACCCATAAGACTGCTCCTGAGCCAGTAAGGACCTTACTTCAACCTCAGCTGGCAGCTCACAGGTCTGCTTTGGGAGGTGAAGTGGGCCGGTAGCTCACCAGCCCTCATCACTATCTTCACCCTAGGGGGCTCATGGCCCAGGTTTGGACTTCAAGGGGTCTCAGAGGAACAAGTTCCAAGCTCAGGAGGCTAAGAAGCAATTGCTTCTTCTGCCAGACCACATTCTCCCTCCAGACACTGAATGAGTCACCCACCCACTTATGCCCCTGCTCCCTGAGTCACCTTCTCTTTTAGGTGCTCCAGGGTAGGAGGAAAAGACAACCTCCCTGGGCTTCAGGTGGAGGGAAACCAATGGGACTGACTCCCCGGGAAGAAGGACCTCCCAAAATTCTAGTTTCTCCAGAGATTTCCGGAGACGATATTGGGGGAAGAGGGGGAAGAGTAAAATGTATCACTCCTTAGGCTTCTAAGGACTTGCAAGGATATCTGGGGAATATCGCTCCGCCACCCCTCCCTTTCTAAAGGTGCCCTTCTCCTTTGGGGGTGTGGCTTGAAAAAGGGGTCTGCACATCCAGTTATCTCTGTGTGTAAAAACACTAGGGCTTGCACAGGGAAGTCGTTGAGTGTGTTTTTGCACATTTCCGAATGTGCCCCTGCTTTATGGGCAAGTGTGTTCGACTATGCATGTGGGTACGCCTGAGTGCATGGAAGTGTGTGGACAAATATGCACCTGTGCATCAGTTTATACCTGTGATTAAGTATATGCAAACATCCGTGGGAGCTTGAGTGTGTTCTTCCCCAGCTAGAAGCTTGTATTGGTGTAGTAAGACCTGCATGTGCTTGGTACACATGGCATTGGGGCTCCATCACAGCAGCCAGCTCCTCTCCCTCCCCTCAGAGGGAGGCGCCTTGCCACACACCAGGGGAGGAGACTGAGGAGTCAAAAGGCCAGCCTGAAGGATGGGGGTCCACTGCGCTTCCTTATCTTCTCCTACTCCTGGGGCCTGGCTGTGAAGCAGCCGTGAATCCTCCTGGCTGGTTTACCACCAGAAAACAAAACAAAAACCC